AATTTAACACGTCACCAAAGAACTTGGGGGCGCAAAGACGTGATCATAGGTCAAGACACTCTCTTCGATCTAAGAATCAATTTTGATTTCACTACCATGTCTTTGGGGTGGAACCATGCAGTTTTCCCGGCGAAAGAGGCAACACCAAATAGAAAAGGAAGAACTTCTCCAAATTTCTCCGATTCTGCGGCGTCCAGCGACATGCAAGATAGTTTCAAGAAGATTCTTGATAGGACATACGAACAAATAGGCTTAGGGCAGATATGCCAGAGTCAAAAACAAGTAAATAAGGAAGAGCAAGAAACGCCTTCATGACTTTTCAATCAAGTGCTTCGGCCCAGTTGAGGATACTTTGGGAGAGCTGCGAATGGACGACTACGAAATAAAACTTCGTCCCGGAACCGTTAAATCCTATACACTAGGCTCAACCCTATTCCACGTCTCCATACCAACACTCTTAGAAGGAGGTTGAACGTCTGTGCGAAACAGGGGCACTCAAAAAGGGTAAAATCGTTCCGAGTGTGCGGCACCAACTTTTATAACTCCCAAGAAAGAGGGATCTGCATGATTCATCTCGGATTTTCGGGAACCGAACAAAAGGATCAAGCGGAGTCCTTATCCTATCCCAAAAAAATACAGGACATGCACTTGAACCTAGATGGATTCAATTGCGCTACCAGTCTAGACCGGAACACGGGACACCACCACATCGAGCTGCACCTCACTCGCAGCAACACCATACCATTGCAATCCCGAAGGGAAAGCAAGAGTAACAGAGGTTGCCAATGGGCCTATGTAATAATCCCGACATCTTCCAAAGGAAGGTGAAAGCACGCATGCATGGCTTAGAAAATGTCCGTTCATACATTGATGATCAACTCATCCTAACGGACGTCGATCTCGCAGATCGCGTTGAACAGTAAGATGACCTTTCCCCAAAGACTCCAGGAAGTCAGGATTGAAATCAATACTACCAGGGCCTTCCTCGAAAGGCAGAACTGGAGTATCTAAGACAATTGACTTCTCGAAAGGAAGCCAACTCTTACAACTACAAAGAAAACAAATGCGATTCCACGCTCATCCTCTTCCTACCAACAGGGAGTAACTTCGTAGATTCATTGCACCAATGAACTACCAAGGGCTGCTCCAAAACAGCAGAAGGAGTAACCACCGTTCTGAACCAGACGTGCGTTACCCAGTATCCATGACCAGTCGTCATGGATAGAGAACGTGAGGTCCGCGTAGAGGTCGAGAAGACTCTCCGGGATGAACATGGATTTCGCCGCAAGTTCACGCACGTCCCAATCGTGACAAGCTTCACACCATCCGTTTCAAAGCAACACCGGAAAAACATTAAGGAACGTCGCCCAAGACGGACCCTCCTGTATCCACGAGAGCACAAAAACCAACACCAGCGACAAGCGTAACTGAACACGGCGCACGTGAGTGCCCTCCACATCAACAACCCACGATCAACGCACTATTACATGATTCATCCTCATGCTGTTCAGAACGCCTAAGTACAGCTGCTTACAGCCCTCACACGCCACACCAGTACCCCAACACAATAACACCTGGTCTCTCGACTACCACACAGTACCCGCAGTCCAAATAACAGCATGCACTGTACGGCCTCCCGACACCAACTACTTACCGCCCCAATAGTCCCTACGTGAGCACCAGGCTACACCCCAGAGGCACACTTGGAACATAAGGTTTTTACACCCATACAAGGCCTATCCCCTTGTAGGATTGCCATCGTGCGACGCACCAGTCTACATACCAAATCTCCGGAGAGTTGCCCCGCACTTTAATTCATCATGTTCTCCATTGTTTACCGACCTTGTAACTGTCATCTGCCTTCCGTGACCCCTTGTCAGCGGCGCAACGCGAATGCCAATACACCGGCTACCCCTTAGCTCTGTACATTCGCGACTCGATCCTAGATCAGTGGGATCTGAGATTCGACTCATGACATAAAGTCCTTCCGCGTCAACGATAACGTCCATATAGAGACAGAGATTTCCCCAAACCTGCAACCCGCTCTGATCATACTAGGTTGATGATGAAATATCGCTGCTAGATTTGTAGCCAGCGTGGAGTACTTCCACGCTACTAGTATAAATGCTAGAATCCAATCTTCTTCCACGCGTTCCGTTTGCGGATCGTGGAGTGAGTAGGATTGCCACCGCAAACTACTCTATCCTCACTCTACAGTCTCCCGCGGGAGTTCAGATCTACGATCCTTTGATTGTGGATTCTCTCTCGTTGATTAGTTTTTCATAGCTTTTTTTCTAATCCTCTCATAACTTTCATTCTCTCAAACTCAAAACACTCGAAAGATCTTTACACTAGCTTTTAGCGTAGTGCACGAGCTCTTCAGGAGTGCGGTCTTCAGGAACTGCAAGCTCGAATTTCATGTACGCACAAGGAGAACCCCTGACTGATAATACCAGAGAGTGTCCATGCCCTAATGCATCTCATTTTTAAAATGGTGATTGGGGCTGTCTCTTCATCTGCTAAGATAGCTGCAAGTGTCAATTTTGTAACTCTCTTGAGCATTCCATCTTGTCGCCACCAGCTCGGCTTTCTAAGCCCCCCGTTGTCCTTCGCAAACTTGTCGGCATGGAAGAAGAAGCTGTTTGCCCACCCCACAAGCGCCACATTTTTCTTTGCATAAAAATTGTCAAGCATGCCTGTTAATCCTGCAACAGCCCAACGTTTGCACGCTTCCATAGAGTATTCAATGGCTTCACTGTCCCTCGAGGATGTCTCAAAGCATCCAGAAAGGTTCTGAAAGGCCTCTGGTCGGCTCGGATCTAGTTTCTGGGCTTCCCGGAGAATCTTTTTGGCACCTGCAATGTCACAAATTGCAACTTTCTTTAGAGCTGCTCCAATCAGTTCATGATAATCCAATTTCGATGCCCAAACTTGGTAGCCCTAATTAGATGACGTGTACGCAAGAAGGCTTCTAATTTCATTCTTCTTGGTCGGTGCCACTTCTTCGTGCCATTTTTTGTGCTCTGACCAAGATTTCCTAAAGCACTTCTGTGAGCAGAAGACTGCAGCCACAAATCCTTCATCATGACACCTAGGGCACTGCTCAAATCGCTCGCCGTCAGATTCTTCCTTGTTGCACCCCATACAGACATATTTTGCCTTGGCATCTGGTGGTCTGGGACTGGGCTGCTCAGTAGCCAGAGGTACTTTACCTGTGTTCTTGGTTTGCCTCTTCTTTCTTACCATTCTTGCGCTTCTGGTTTATTGCTTGAAACCAACACAAAGCAACCTTTGCTTTGGCTTGCTTGCCGATGGCTGTTGCTCGCAGCTCCGAGTCGTCGTGGCTATCTGCAATCAAGAATGATATGGGGAATTCCTTATGGACTCAGACTCGACCGTGATGTTAGAAAGAACAAGATCATGAAGCGATCCGTTGGCAAATGCATCAGATACCTAGAAAAAGATATGGAAGTCAGGGGTTGAGGTATATTTTTAGAATAAACGTATCTTCTACGTAAGCTTGTGAGGCTGCGAAATAATCAATTTGGTCCCGGTTGCGAGGCTTCTTTGCGCGGCGACAAAGCCGCTGGGCGGGGCTAGCGGTAGCCCTCTTGACCTCGGCAGGTTAACTGCCTGAGTCCTCTACCCCTTTTTTGGCAAATATTGTGTCTGTGGGATCCCCTGGTTTTGTGTCTGTGAGATCCCCGTTTCGTTTTGGTGAAGCCAGGGTATAGGGTTAAGCTTTTAAAATAGTTGATGCCATTTGCCCTTTGCCGCAGCCATCCAACCAACAGCGCGTTTGCCACAGCCATGCATCCAACAGCCATTGATCTTGACAACAGCCATCAACCGCATATAGTAAGATCCCTTCCAGAAGCACCAGCCAGCTACTTGTATAGACACACGGCACCAATAACTGGGGCGACCAAGCAACCATGCCTGTCAAGTATGGAACACCTGCTTACCGCAGGAAAATTGAAGCCAATCGGCGGTCCAAACAGAAAAAGCAGGCACAACAAACAGACGAGGAACGGCAGGCTGAGTTGAAAGTCAAAAGAGAATTCATGCAGAAGCATCGAGAACAACAATCTATAGAAGAATATGAGATTGCCAAAATAAAGGATCGAGATAGGAAACGAATTCGCCGCTTAAAGAATGAATTCTTCGATGCTGAAGCACACAATTTCAACGAAAAACAGCTCTGGATTGATCGAGCTTTGGAAATAAACAAGATAAAGGCTCAGCTGAAGATGGAGCGACAGAAGCTGCAGAAGCTACGTAGTGTTGAAGACCTAGAAAACTCTTTAAATAGAGGATGGCTGAAAGCTCAGCTTGCAGAACTCACAGAACAGGCAAAGAAAGAACACACAATCTTAGAGCATGATTGGGACGAAAGGGTACAGAAGCTCTTTGGCAAGGATCCGGGTTTCTTCCAAGTAGAGATCAGCATATTTCAACATACGCATGATAGAAAGAAGATTGCGCAAGAGAGGAGAGATAGTGCAACGAATCATAATCTACAACTTGAGCGGGTTAAAAAATCACTCAACAAAGCACGTTGTGCCCACCATACTCTGCTGTGGCGGAGAAATGTATTGCCAGGGATTCTAGAGAAATATGGCTAAATGAAATGCTTAAGGTATTGTGTTATTGTGGATGGATTAGCAAGCGGTCTAGCTAACAATCCTCGAGATTCTCCTCTTTGTGTTCCAATCGTGGGTTTGCTCTATAAATTATAGATCAGCCACAAGTGGTCGTCCTTCTTCTATCTGTCTTTCTGCCGAGGTATCGCAGCTCCCGCTGACTTATTTTATTGTGGCTTCGGAGAAAACCAATCGCCCCCCTCGCTCCTTAACGTATCTATTTAGTATTTATTTACATTTCCACCTTGGTATTGTATTCCTCTTGAGCACGCCAGCATCATGCATGAGAGAGCCGATCTGGTTTGTACTCTTCAAGCAGCGACATGCAAGTGATCCTGTGGAAGCATTCTGCTATTGTTATACTGAGTAATCGTCTCTGTTGGAATCCTCAGGATCGAACCCAAGGCTCGGGATCGACGTATTGTCATCGCCGACGCTCGATTGGACGTTCGAGCCCGCGATGATCTGCGCGAAGTAGGTTTGCATGAGTCCCTTGCCCTTGGCCAGGATCTTGTCTTCTCTGGGCGTCAACCAACTCGCTTTGCCGGCCAGAGTGATGGCATCGGCGGTGGCCTGGGAAACATGGATCCTGCCTCGGACGCCGTTGCTTTCCATTCTGGAAGCGGTGTTGACGGTATCCCCAAACAGCTGAAATCGTCCCTTGTCTCCCCGCAAGACTCCCGCGGTTGTACTTCCCGAATGGAGGCCAACCCTCATTTCT